TGCGGCACACACAGACACATACACATAATTAGAAATAAAGTGAGAGTGGGCTGGAGAGTTGGCTCAGTAGTTAAGGGTGCTTGTTGCTCTTGAAGAGGACCCAGGCTCAGCTCCCAGCACCCACACGGTGGCTCACAACCACCTGTAACTTCAGGTCCAGGGGACCTGATGCCCTCTGACCTCTGCAGGTTCCAGATGTGTGGGTGTCGCATACACATACTTGCAGACAAAACACTCAAACATATAAAATAAGGTAAATCTGTCTTTTTGTTTGTCTGGGTTTTTGCAGGGTGTCACTATGCAGCTCTGGCTGTCCTGGAACTCACTCTGTAGACCAGGCTGGCCTTGACCTCTCAGAGATCCACCTGCCTCTGTCTCCCGAGTGCTGGGATTAAAGATGTGCACCAATATGCCAGGCAGGGCTAAAACAAGTCTTTAAAAAATAGAACAAACAAGCAAACAAAAAGCCAGGAAGTTGTGGAGTCCGAAGCCAACCTTCGACAGGCGTTCTACGTGTTAAGGTCATTCCAGAGCCTCCTGTCTCCCACCCCATCCCTGCCAGTTCCTGTGGTTTTTTCCTGTATTACTCTCTTCTCCAGCTAGGTTGTGAGGTGGCCAAGGGCCTGTGTGTACCCGTGTTTCCTGGCATGGCATCTGAACACAGCGACTCCTCAACATCTTTGGGGGCAGTCACTTCAGCAACCTAGAGGAGACACTCCCTGGCCCTCAGAGTGCCAGCACCAAAACCCAGCTTTGGTGAAGGCCAGGAGTGGATGAGGCAGCAGAGAGTGTCAGAGAAGGGAGGGGCCAACTTGGGGTTGCCTGGATGGGGAATCTCTGTATCTGGGCCCTCAGAAGCCCGCTCTTTCCTGTGTTGGCGTCCTGGCCTCTCTTCCTGCGGTGACTACTGTTGGTGGCACTGTCCGTGGGTCCACTGGAAGCCCGACTCCTTGCAGAGCCTTCTCCTCATACCTGGGGAGGCGGCGACAGGGGCCTGGCTATTCTGGACTTGTTTGTCTGGGCCCAACATAGCCCTGCCACTACCTGCCCTTCAAGTCAGGGTCTCCCTGCTTTCCTAGTCACAGGGAACCGTCAACAGTTCCGGAGACCCTCTCTGTCACAGTCTTGTGACAGGAGCACTGGTCTCTGGCCTCTGTGTCACCTTTTTGTGAGTAGGAGAACAATTCAGGCAGGTGTAAGGCCAGACAAGCTGATGGGTCCCCAGGGGGTGGGACCTGAGAGATGTGGTTTGCGAAGGGCCAGCAGGCTGTCCTTTTTAGCTGTGGTGGCAATGCCCTCCAAAGTTCTGTCCCCAAGTTTTCCTGACAGGCAGCTGGAGTGTTGGGGAGAGCCAGCGAGAGCTCAGAGCCTGAGTTCTGACCAGCTTGATCCTAACCTGAAGCAGGCCTGATGCTCCCCTTGCCTCAGTTTACCCTTTTGTCAAGGGATGGAACCCAAGGACCTCATGAATTCTGTCAGGGGCTGAGCTACACTCCCCAGGAGGAGTTCACACTTTTGCCAAGGGACCTGTTGGGTTAGAAGATTCCTTGTGCCTCATAAACGGGGGCCTGGAGTCTATACTTGATGTTCGGCAAGCATGGGTGTTGCTTTGGGGTTTCTAAGTATTAGAGGGAGGTTTGTGCACATCTACGGTTCTAACTCTCGTGTGCAGATAGGACCATCACACGGCTCTGGAGTCCCAGCCGGGGTCAGGGCTTCCTTTTCTACACCCGTCTCTCCTGGAGGCCCAACCCCGTGGGCACCGGAGTGGGTACCTACTGGCCTCTCTCCAGTCTGGGCCTCTTCCTACCCAGGCTCTTGCTCCTGGCTGCCTGAGCTGGGGCCCGGGTCCTCCCTGTGCAAGACCCTCGAGCCCACTTGCCGTGCATGCCCAGGCTCCCTCCTTTCTCCTCTGTTTTGCCAACATGAGGCTTCTCGAGGGCAGGTCCGGATCAGACAGGAATGAGCTCATGTGTTTACTCAGAGTGGAGAACTGGGTCTTGGCATTTCCTGGGGGAGGTGGGGGAGGGGGTGCCTGCTTGAGTTGGAGGAGGGATCCCTCTTGCCCTCCATGCTGCAGTGACCGCATTGTCTCAGGCTGTCCGCAGGGCCCAGGAGACCACACTCCATCTTGTCTCTACAATGCCCACGCTGACGGCGCTGCTTGGCCGCAACCTGAATTCCTTGACTTTCCTTCTCGACCCTTTGGTTTAAACTGCAGCTTCTCCCCAGCCCCCTAAACCACCCTGCCGTCAGTGCGGGTGCCTCTGTGCTGTTTATCGGCCACTGGCCTGCGCCAGGTTGTGTGCTCTCAGATGCTAGACGGGGCCTCGGTCTTGTTTTTTCCACCCCTAGTCTGCCTCTGGCTCAGCGCCAGCAGGAACGCAGGTTGGTTTTAGACGAGAAGGTAGGGGCTCAGGCTGTGACAGTGACCTGGTGGGCTACTCTGGGTTATAGCTGGAGTGGGAAGAAAGGCTGGGCCCTACCTTCTTACTCTTTCTGACCATAGCCCCGACCCTCTGTCCTGGGCTTCCTCACATTCCAGCTGGGCTCAGACATGTGGAACCAGCCTTTATTCCCAGGGCTTCCAAGGCCGATCCTGACCCTTAGCACAAGCTTGTCCAGCTCATGGCAGAAGAGTGGAGCCAGGGAGCTCCCTCATGAACTACCTAGTCCAGCTCCTGATACTTCACAAATGGGGAAACTGAGGCTCAGTTAGGAGCAGTGATCTGCCCACAGTCATGGGTCCAGATCTGGTGTCTGGGGCCCATCTGTGTCCAGGAACCAGGCGGGTGCTAGGTAGTCTGAGCAGGATGAAGTGTGAAGTCAATCCTGGAGTGTCTCAGAGGCCCAGTCTCTCCAGATCTCTCCAGACCCCTCCAGCCCACCCCAGCAGCAGAGAGCTGCCCTTCCCCCTGCACTCCGCCCAGCCCGGATCTCTCCCTGGAGCCAGCCAAGGCCAGGAGCAAGTCTGAATCGGCCCAGGGAGCTTCGAGTCCCGGCTGGCCCTCCCTGCCCTGGGGTTCAGGGAGTGGGATGTCAGCACCACACCTCAAATCCCTTGGCCTTCCCTCCCCACCCACACTTCTGCCTGGGGCCCAAACATGGCAGGGAGCCAGGGAGACAGGGAGCCAGGGAACCAGGGAGCCGTGCCCTCACCCTCTGGCCTTGGTAACCGCGGCACAACACCCAACACTGGAGACTGTTTGTCCTGCCAGCGCCACACCCAACCAACCTGGGCCTGCAGTTCAGTCGTCTGGGGGAGAGGCCTAGCTCAGGGGGAGATAGGGAGGCCTGGAGACCCTCACCCTCCTACCACATTGTCCAGGAGCTTCCGCGCTCAGGATACCTGGCTGTGGCCTCGGCAACTTGGCCCCTACTTCAGGCCCAGCTTCCAGCCCTGTAGCCCTGGTAGAGCACCCAAGCATGATCCATAGCAGAGGAACAGAGGCCAGAGAAGAGACGTCCCTTGGCCAGAGAGCCACGCAGGGTCTCAGGGAGGGAAGCCACGGCCTCTTTCTTCCACAGTCAGGAGACAGAAGGGGGCCTGGCTCCTCCAGCTCTGGAGGGCTCTGCTTTCTGGTGCCCAGGGTGGCAGGGGCTGCTCTAGCCCGAAGCCGAGGGTTGGCGGGGTGGGCACGGCGGTGGCATGTGGTCCCTGGGCAGCTGGGATGGCGTAAGGAAAAGGGTAGTTGGTGTTTCTGGCCTTCACGTCAGGGCCTGGGACAGCAGTTGCTGTCCTGATGATCATCTCTCTGCTGGAAAGATCCCAGGCCCTGGCTCTCAGGGTCTGCCTGGGCTGAGGGAGTGGGGCTAGGCTGCCTCAAGCGCTCCTGTCCCAGGTGACTGCAACAGAAGTTCTTACGTGACTCTGTAACATGGTGAAGGAGGCCTGAAGGACTCGCCTATAGTTCTCTGTCTTAGGGAAACCAGAGAGACAGAGCCTTTCTTTTGTGATTTCCAATTTTCTTTTGAAGTCCTGGTTGTACTGGAACTCACTACGTAGCTCCTGCTAGCTCCAACTTGGGGTGATCCTCCTGCCTCAGCCTCAACCTCCTGGGATTACAGATAAGAGGGATCGCACTAGGCTTGGTAGGCTCTCCTCCAAGTTACCAGGCCCACTCAAAGTCATCAGCAATTGGTGGCTGCCTGTTAAATGATTCTGGGCTACGTCTTTGATACCCAGGTGACACATGCCTCGGTCCCACATGGTGGACACTGTGGGCAATATGCTCTCCAGCTCCCTGTTCACAAAGCAGGGGTGGGAGTTCGGGGGAAACCCAGGCTCAGAGAAGGCTCAGGGTGGGGGGCCAGGGCTCAGTGGCTATCTCTCAGGGGCCTCTAACTCTGCTGACGTTGGTGTGTATGTGTGCTTGTGGGGTGTGTGTGTGTGTGTGTGTGTGTGCGCGCGCGCGCGCGCGCGCACGAAGCCCAGTACAGTGCAGAAGGGTACAATGGACAATGCCCCTGCATCTCTCCAGGGTCATGGGCCAGGTGGGTGCTGGGGGAATCTCAGTCCCAATCTCAGGTTCCGTCCCCTGCCTGCCTCTGGCCAGGGAGGAACTTCAGGCAGGGGTGTGGTGGGAGAGACTCGTGTTGCTGAGGCTGCAGCTTCACAGACCCACCCAGGCTGAGTCAGCGAGCTGGCGGGAGCCAGGGGGGTGGCAGCTTTCCCAGGGCCAGCCTGGGCGAGTCTGCATTCCTTCCCCTCAGAGCGTCTGGGCTTGGCAGAACCAGGTGTGTTGTGCCTGTCCCAGCCTCGCCTGCCGCCCTGAGCCAGCTAGGCTAGGGCTTTGTTAGGGACTCACCTGGCAGCTGCCTGGAGCGGGGTGTGGGAACTGCTTGCCTTGCGTGTCCTTGCTGGGTGAGGCGCAGGCTCAGGGAGGGCAGTCTGCTGGAGCCCCAGTTCCCACAGTAGCTAGGACAATGGTGGGGGAGGGTCAGTGTTCAGCCGCAGTAGAGAGGGTCAGCCCAGCCCAGCTGGGGACTTTGCCCTTGCTGGTGGCAGAAGGCGGGGTGGGCCCTGCAGAGGCTGGGAAGCTCCCGGGAGGCATACTACGTGCTGTCCGGCTCTGTAGGAAGCCCTCGTTCTGACTAGCTGGAAGCTCTGCTACCAGGTGGGGTCCTGGGGCAGAGGGCAGGAGTGGGAGTCTGTCCTCTTGTAGATTTCCAGCTCTGGGACTGCCACCAACAGCCACCACCCGGGCCCTGCTCCTCCGGGTCCCAGCTGGCCTGTCTGTACTGGCACCTGGGACTCTGAAGGGATCTACATGGGGCATAGGGCAAGGTTGGCTTTCACCAATCATTTGTGTCAGACTCCCACAAGCCACTTCTTCCTGGCCCTCATTTCCTCTCCTATAGAGTTAGCATAGGAACCCTTTTCCTTGCTAATATCAATGGGTGAAAATGTGTTTTGTCCGTACCACCTTTCCACGATGCTACCCGTGAACAGAACCTAGGGCCTACCTACTCTCCACACGTGCCTGCTACTGAGTGACAGTCCCAGCCCAGAATGTGACCTTTAATTGAGTGTGTGCTTGGGATCTGATGGTCTGTACTGAGACCACCTCCCCCACCATGGACCCTGGGGAGCCTCCTGTCACCTTTGTGGTCAGGGCATACTCCCATGTGGGACTGGGCAGGACACCTCAAGTCTGAGACTTGGGGACCGTTCCTTGTGTGCAAGCTTTTTCCTGATGCCGTTGCTGGAGCTCACCTTCCAGTCAGGCCGTAGGATGCCCCTCACTTTTCTGACACCTCTTTCCTAGACCTCAGAAGTTTTGGTCATAACCTGTGGGGTCTGTGCTGGATCCCTCCACTAGACTTTCATGTGAGCTGGTTGCTGGGAACCCTGTAGGCCGTGGCCTGGCCCAGGGCAGCTTGGGCTACAGAAAACACAGGTCTGGTCCTGGCCCAGGGTGGGCGTGGGAATTCTGTCTGCACATGAAGTCAGGACGGTGATGGTAGGGTATGAGGTGGGGGGAGGGGAGGGGTGTCGCTCTGGGACATTGTCTAGCACAGCCTCTGCTGTGAGGACTGCAGGTTGCCTGGGGGCTGGGCCTGGGTGGGGGTGGGGAAACAGTAGGTACCATTCCTGGGCCCACCTGGCCCATTGCTAGACATGGGAACAGGAGTAACCCGAGATGCCCGAGTTGGGCAGAGAGCCCTCAGCAACTTTGATTCCTTCCCAGATTTCCTTTGGCCGAGCTTCAGGTGACATTCTGGAGTGACCTTGTTCCCGGGACATGTCTAGAGACTCTGGCTTCCTCCCCCCCCTCTTGTCCTGTGCCTAGCTGGGGTGGAGGGAGAAGAATCTGGGGTACTGCAGCACCCACAGCCTCGATCTGTGTCCTCCCTAGTGTCTGAAAGCAGAGGATGGTTGAGTGAGCGAGCGAGCGAGCGAGCGAGCGTGTGTGTGTGTGTGTGTGTGTGTGTGGTTTAGGTGTGTATCTGTGTGTATGTATCTGTGTGTATATGTGTGTGTTTTTGTGTGTATCTGTGTATGTGTGTGTTTATGTGTGTTTTTTTGTGTATATATGTGTGTTTGTGTGTGTGTGTGGTTTAGGTGTGTATCTGTGTTTGTGTGTGTTTTTTTGTGTATATCTGTGTTTATGTGTGTGTGTGCGTACATGCCCTTGTCTCAAGGCAGGAGGGCTATACTGCATTCAGACTGTGATTTTCTGTAGTTGGGGTCTAGACTGCAAAGGATTCTGGGAACTGTCCCTGAGAGCTGGATCCAGGGCAGTCTGGGAAATTGTGAGAACAGGTGAGAACAGGCTGGAGGGGAGTGGCAGCTGCTGGAATGTGTGGGCCTGGTGTACCCCACCCTCCCTCATTCAGGGCTGGGCCCTCTTTCTTCTAGATGTCCCAGCTGCGCCAGCTCTGCCACCAAGCACCCCTTTCCTGCTCTCTCTTAGGGGACACTCATGCGCTCTTCTTTTTGCTGGGCTACAGCCAATTGGCCCATCCGGGGAAGGCTTTGGAGGGACCTTTCTAGAACCCCCGGAAGCTCCTCAGAGTCTTGATGTTGTGACCCTAGCCCTTTGCACAGACAAACCCTCATTCTGAGGTTAGGGAAGGACCCGGCTCGCAGGAGGACTAGTGGGCAGGTTTCTAGGTCAGCCCGGCTCTCCAGGTGGTGGCTGAGGGCAGCTTGTCAGTCCTGTAGATTCTGGGCCCCTGTTGTCACCTCTGCAGGAGAAGCATGTCCTTCCCTGTCCTACCTGCGGCCCTTAGCATCCAGGCCCTTCCTCAGTGCAGTGGGCAGGGTCTCTCACATGTTGGTCCCCTGCCCACCTAGGCTCAGCTTTCGTCTCTGTCTCCTGTCCTCTGGGTCACGTCACTCTTCCCTGAGGGTGGGAGGTCCCCGTGTGCCACTGGCCTTCACATGTGACCGTCACACCTGTCTGGACAGTCAGTGTCTACCTGTGGCTCTTGTCTGTGCCGTGCCTTCTCAGACCCCCTCCCCTGCCTCCTGGGCTGGCCCTGGGTGTGTAGGTTAGCCTGCTCAGGCCTCATGCTACCTCACGAGGTCCAGTGTCTCTCCCACAGTTCTAGCCCCCGGTGTGTCCCTGTTAGGTTTCCTGGCCGGGCCCTGCTGCATACAGTTCAAAGATGAAGTAGCTAAAAGGGAACCGGAGTTTGGAGGTTTCCTCTGAGGCCTGGGGACTTGAACGTGCCACCAACAGACCTGGTCCTGACTCTGCCTGCTTGAGTCTGCAGGGGAACACCATTCTACCTTGGGATTGGGGCTACCCGGAAAGATTCTAGAAGTCTCTCCTGGGATCATGGACAGACAGTTCAGGCTTGTCCGGGGTAGCTGGCGATGACAACTTTGTGAGAGGTTAGGGGGCTGAAATCGTGGACAAGTGTGCCCGTGTGAGTCTAGTGTGAGGCTGTGCGTGCGTGTATGATTGTGTGTGAGCGTGTGAGTACATGTCTCTAAGTCGTGAGTGTGACTGTGCGAAGTGTGTGTCTGTGTGTCAGGGCGTGCATATGGACTTATGAATGCATGCTAGTGCAAGGGCCTGAATACCCAAATTTAAACGAGCTGTGTGCAAATGCATGTGTGAGCTGTGAGGGTGTGCAAGTGTATGTAAACTGTGTGTGTGAGCTGTGTGTGCAAACATGAGTGTGTGTGGGCTGAGTATGTGAACAGGAGCTGTGTGTGAACCAGCCACTAGCCTTGCGGAAGTGTGGAACTTGGATCCAGGCCGTCCTCCCCTCCACAGTCAACTAGACCCAGGGCCTTTCTATAAATTCCGGGGACTTCCAGGGAACCCCTGCAGGCTCGGTTCTGCTCCAGGGGAGTTTCCACATTCTAGAGAGAGCTTGGAGGCCACTCTTTCTTTTTATGAAAATCAATATGGAACAGAGCCAAAATACTACTGACAAAATATACATTGGATTTAAGAATAAAGACAGAATTGCTGTGTGACATTAGACATTCGACTTAGAAAATAGTATAATTTGAAATCACGTGAATATGTGTGCGTGTGCCTTTGTGTGAGAATGTGCAAATGAGTTACAAGTGCCCACAGAGGCTAGACATGTTGAATTCCCTGGAGCTGGATTTCCAGGTGATTGTGAGCCGCCTAACACAGGTGCTAGGAACTGAACTTGGGTCCTCTGGAAAGACAACACGTACTCTTAACGGCTAAGCCATCTCTGCAGGACCTTAGGCACTGTCTTTTGACATGAGCTCTTCCCATGCCCCCTTTGGCCCTGGAGTCGCCACTGTTCAGAGAGCAGAAGCCATTCCAGGCCCAGGTGAAACAACTGGAATGTCTGCCCAGGTCTCCATGAGCAGCTCAGTGCTGCCCTCTGCAGGTGCAGGATCAGGGTTGCATGCCTCCCAGCCCCAGCCTGGCCGAGAAAGAAGAGCCTACCTGGTTCACTTGCTGAGACCCTCAGAGAAGTGGACACCTTGCTGTTCACGAACACATGCAGGGCATGCTTGGATTTGCACACAGGCTATCCATACAGGTGAGCACATAGCTGCTTTCGTCATTGGTTTGTATTGGATCCCCAGTCAGGGGTCATACCCCGTGTGAGACGCACACCAATAGCAGCTACTGTTACTAAAGGGTTCTCAGGAGAAGGGGGTGCTTCTCATGGAGAACGGTGATGGACTCAGGGACCCCCAAACTCAGGGCAGGGGAAGAAGCTGGTTTTGGGATCAGCAGCTTCACAGAGGGAACTAAGGGGTAGGTAGGGCAGGGAGAAATGTGTGGGAAGCAGGGAAAGGCTTTTCAAAGGCAGTCAACTGGAAGGGAGGTGCAGGTGACATGCCTTAATTCACAGACCAGTTTGGGAGGAAAGTGTCTCCACCGTGGCTTGGAGGCAGGACAGTGGACACAGTGGCCCAGCTGGGCTCGGTGTAGTGGGGGTGACACAGACTAGGGAGGAATGTACTGATGGAGGTGAGCTGATCCAGGCTCCAGGAGGAGAAGGGGTCTGAAGGGGCAGTTGGCAGAGAGAGTTCCAGCATCCCCCCCCAATTCCTTCTCCCTAGGAGGAATTAGGCAGCTCCTCTCCATTGTGTGTAGAGGTGTAGGACTTAAAGCGTCCAGCAGAGGGTGCTCTAGCCACAGGATTGAAGTTGAGCCTTGTAGTAGTGGATGCTTTCCATTCTCGGAAAGAAGCTGGAGCCTAGAACCCATACAGGGATGCCCTTTGGTATCAGAGGACCTTGGGAGGAGAGGACCTCAATGAGGTGAGGTGGGACCCTCCAAGTTTCCCTTTGCTTCCTGTCCCGTTTCCATTCTTCTGTGTCTCCTGATGACTTTGAAACAATCCCCAGGAATTTGAAGACCCCTCTGGCTGCCCTGGAGAGGTTTCTCTAGGCTTCGGGGTCTGTGGAGAGTCAGTGAGCCTTTTTTAAGAAGCTCCTGGGTGTTATGCTCGGGCCTCTTGTCTGCATCTCTTGCTTCCCTGAATGGCCTGCAGGGGGCAGGCTGCCTTGTTTGCGTGTGTTCTGTCTAAAGCTTGTGTTCTCAGCTCTTGCCTTCTGCCACAAAGGGCTAGACTTCCCCAGGGCTGGCTGGTGGGCACAGTCCTCTTGCTAGCTGAGCTTGGGGCTCTGGGGCTGTCCATCAACTGCAGGGGGGGGGCGGGGATGGTGGCTAGGGAGGACAGCCATTCAGTTGTGAATGCTTCCTGCCTCTCCTGGGACTCGGTTATTCCAGGGACTCGGTTATTCACCTGTTCATTTATTTGGCAGGGCATTGTTTGACATGACCATTTCTGGGGGCAGAGAAGGAGGTGGCAGGGAGCCCTTGCCAGGTTGGAGAAGGCGATGGACAGGTGAAGACATGGAGTGGAATGTGCTGGAAGAAGTGTGGTGCCCCTCTGCTCCCAGCTTCTCCTCGGATTAAGGTTGCAACCGAGAGCCATCGTCATGGCTGCCCGCCTGCTCGCCCCAGAAAGCCATCCCCCATCCCACTGCTGCCCACCAGCCCTGTTTCCCTCTTCATGTCTGTCTCCTAGACTGTCACTTCAGCCCTAGGTGGGCTCTGGTCTCTTCCTGGTGTCTCATTCCCACTAAGGGAAGCCTCTTTGTCGAACTACTCGCAGAGAAGAAATAATGAATGAGTGTGACCCACAGAGACTGTCCATGTGGAAAAGATCCACGGACACCTGCGGAAGCCACTCACAGAGTGTATGTGCCGAGGCTGAGAGTAGCCTGGGAGACTCTTCGTCAGTTGGCAAGGGGAAGACAGCTCACAAGGGGTAACCAGGAACTCAAAAAAGGATCCTGAAGGGCAAGCCTGCTGCCTAGTTTTATGTCAACTTGACACAAGTTAAGAGTTATCCGCAAGGAGGGAGCCTCAGTTGAGAAAATGCCTCTATAAGATTCAGCTGTGGGCAAGCCTGTAAGGCATCTTTTTCATTAGTGATTAATGGGGAGGGTCCACCCCTGGTGGGTGGTTCTGTCCCTGGGCTGGTGGCCCTGGGTTCTATGAGAAAGCGGGCTGGGCAAGCCACAGCAGCAAGCCAGTAAGCAGCTCCCCTCCGTAACCTCTGCATCATCTCCTGCCTCCAGGTCCCTGCCCTGTTTGAGTTCCTGTCCTAGCGACCTTCAATGAACAGTGATGTGGAAGTATGAGCCAATAAACCCTTTCCTTCCCAAGCTCATGGTGTTTCATCACAGCAATAGAAACCCCGACAAGCACAGCAAAGGTGCTCTGTGTCAACCATAAGTTAGGAGTGAAAACCGAGGTAGCTGAGGAGCCTTTTCAACCATTGGAAAGGTGACTATGGAACCTGCAGCAGTGGGGACAGCTAGGTCTCACTGGTTTCCAGGACTGGCAGAAGTTAGTGAGGGCGCTCATTCTCTGTCATGGTTCGGGAGTGGAGGCAGGGGAATCAGAAGTTCAAAGTCATCTTCCAGTACACAGCAAGTTTGAGGCCAGCCTGAGGCCCACCCTTCCTTCCTTCCTTCCTTCCTTCCTTCCTTCCTTCCTTCCTTCCTTCCTTCCTTCCTTCCTTCCTTCCTCCCTCCCTCCCTCCCTCCCTCCCTCCCTCCCTGCCTCCCTCCCTCCCTCCCTGCCTCCCTGCCTGCCTGCCTGCCTGTCTGCCTGCCTCCCTCCCTCCCTCCCCCCCCTCTGTTTACAAGACAGGGGTTTTCTGTAGCCTTGGCTGTCTTGGAACTTGCTCTGTAGACCATGTTGGCCTGGAACTTGTAGAGATTCACTTGCCCTTGTCTCCCAAATGCTGGGATTAAAGGCGTGCACCACCACCGCCTGGGTGTCTGTCTTAAAAAAGAAAAAAAAAATCACTGTGTGGTGGCATGCACCTTTAATTACAGCAGAGGCAGGAGGATATCTGTGAGTTCTAGGACATCCTGGTCTACATAATGAGTTTCAGAATAGCACAGTGAGACTGTCTTAAAAAAGAAAGAAAGAAGGAAAGAAAAAGTCTAGAGGGCTGGAGAGATGCTCAGTGGATAAGAGCACCTTAAAAAAGAAAGAAAGAAGGAAAGAAAAAGTCTAGAGGGCTGGAGAGATGCTCAGTGGATAAGAGCACCTGTTGCTCTTCCAGAGGACCCAAGTTCGCCATCACTCACACTACGTGACTTACAACCACCTGGGACTCTAGCTTGAGAGCATCTGATACCCTCTGACTTTTGTGGGCCCGTGCACACACATGTATGCATGCATGCAAACACATGTATGCATGCATGCACACATATGTGTATACGTTCACACAGATACACAAATAAAAAATCAATAAGAAATGAAAAAAAAAAAGACAAAATGGATTTGGCAGCCACCTGAATGTCTGTCCTCCTGGGAGGCAGGTGGATCATATGAGCCCAGGAGTTCAAGGCTAGCCTTGGCAGGACACTGTCTCCACCAAAACCAAACATTATCCTTTAGTCCAGTAATCCCATTGCTAATATCTCCCCTAAGATTGTATTTGCAGAAGTTCACAATGCCACGTGTTCAGGGATGCATACTACACCATTTTGTGTAAACAAACGTTGGAGTCCAGGGAAAGAGTGGCTGGAAATAATCTACTCCTTCACTGGTGCTGTTGCCAGGACTTGAGAGACAGACAGTGTTTCCTTCTGTGGAATTAAAATCTGTAAGGCCTGGGGATGTAATGCAGTGCTTGCCTAGAATGGACAAAGCTCTGGGTGATTCCCAGCGCTGTATAAACCAGTGTCTGCAATCGCAGCACTGGAGAGACAGGAAGATCTGAAGTTCAAGGCTGCCCTTCTATACACAGGAAGTTTGAAGTCAGCCTGGGATCTATGAGAACCTGCCTTTAATAAAACGTCAATGCGCATGGACATATTAAGAATAAGAAAAGGCTGGGAACATGGCTGAGCAGGGGAGTGCATGCTTAGTATGTTCCAGGCCCTGGGGGTTTGGTTCCCAACATTGCAAGTAAGCAAGTAAGCAAATGTGCAAACGAATGAGGGAACCAGCCCTGACACAGCAAAGCCCAGAACCAGCCCAGACACAGCAATGCCCGGATACAATCTGAGATCCCTTCCTCGTGGGCTTCTCAGCCTTTGTTCCGGTCACGTCTCACATGCTCTGTGGGCCTAGAGAGTCACCAAAGGGATTCCAGGGAGCTCTCCCTCCACAAAGCTCTTCCCGGAAGTAGCCTGTGTCCAAGTGAAGCCTGAGAAGCACTTCCCCTCACGGAGTCTCGTGTACCTTCACGTCTGTGTGAAAAGCAAGTGGAAGCTCTCAGCAGATGCTGCCTTGCCTGGCCCAGCAGACTGTGGATCCTGGTTCTCAGGCCTGACTGCGCCCCCCCCACCCCTTGGCACTACCCAGCAAGCTCTAGGGCAGTGGCTCTCACAGTGGTCTCGACTCCTTTGGGGTTGCATATCAGATGTACTGCAATCAGATACTTGCATGATGATTCATAGCAGCAGCAACATAACAGTTATGAGTAGCAACAAAATAATTTTACAGTTGGGAGTCACTATCACAAGAGGGACTGCGTTAGAGGGAGGCAGTATTAGGAAGGTTGAGAACACTGCTGTAGGCCACCAGGGATTCTGGCCTCGGTCTGGTGACTCAGTCTGACTTTTCCCTACTTGGTCCATCTTCCTGCTCTCTGAGGAAGAGCCCAGTCCAAGGACCTTTGCATCTGGAATGTTCTTCCCTGCACATAGCTTGCTCCTTCCTCAGCCCTCAGCTCCCCTTAGCTGTGGAAGAGAGCTTCCTTGGCCTTGGAAAACACGTCACTCTTTGGTTTGCTGATCGCCCAACATTCCCACCAGACTGCTCCATTAGGCTAGAGAAGCTCTATGTATTCCCAGCATTAGGGACAGCGGGTGGCACAGAACACATGCTCAGCCAATAGAAGACAAGCTACATCTCATAAGCCCCGCCCCCAGCATTCTGGTTGCGTCATTCTGAGATGCTGATCCAGCTTCCGGTATTCCCCAAACACACCGGGCGTGTCCCCACCTCTGCCTGGCTCATCGCTTCTGCCCAGGCTTTGAAACCCAGTCTCTCAGGCGCTCCCTCAGAAACTGCTCAGTGCCTCAGAATGAGTGACTGGCTCCTTCCTCATCCTGCCAAGGAGCTTGTCCACACATTCCTTTGTCAGGCACAGTGCTATTGTGCTCAGATGAAACGTGTGTCTGTCTCTCGCTCACTGCTGGCTCTCGCGCAGGGCAGGGCTGGGCTGACTCAGGGTTGCATTCTGAGCACCCAGCCCAGTGTCCGCCACACAATGAGTGCAATGAGTAGGTGACGACTGAAGTCTAGCTTTGGGCTCTCACCGCTCGCTTGCCTGTATCCATTCGGCTCCCAGGTCAGCACCAGCTGGGCACTTACCACGTGCGGAGTGCCGCGTTAGGTGATGGGGCCAGACGCCGTGTTTGGCTGTGTATGTAGCAGAGGAACAGATTTCCTTAACAAAGCTAGTACAAGTGAGAATGGTTAACACTCAGGGACTAGAAAGGGCTTGAGGAGTATATTAGTTTCTTTTTGCTGCTCGGACAAGAGATCACCTTAGGGGCCTAAAGATACATAATTACTCCATTCTGGGACTGGAAGATAGAAACCCAAATCAAGATGTCGTGATGGCTGCCTTTCTCTGGGGACCCTGAAAGAATCTGGTGCTTGTGTTTCCAGCTTCAGTGGGCTGCTGGGGTCCTCCACTCAAGTCCCTGAATCACTGACATCTGCTTTCGGATTTGCGCTGCCTGACTCTGCCTCCCAGGCCCTCCCAGATGAGGACACTAGTGACGACACTAGTGTCCCATCTGCAGTCTCTTTTGCTTTATTTACAAGGTATAGACCCCCAGGTTCTGGGGTTAGGACAGACACATGTTTGGGGTTCACAGACAAGGAGGCTCACCTTCCATGGCCCTAAGCCATCCTCATCACTGTAGAGTGCCTACCTGACATGGTCTTCATAGCCACATGGGCAATGGGTGGACAAGCCCAGCCTTCTTGTTCTGTACAAGATGGGGACTGGGGCAGAAAGAATGGGTTACCCGAGGCCACACTGAGCCCGGACTGGACATCATGCTCTTGGTCTCGGGGTCCAGAGCCTATTTCTTGTGTAATGCAGTCAGGATTATAGATCAGACCGTGTGTGAGGATGACGAGGGACCTGCTGTTCCTCAGAGCCTTGCTAGAGAAAGCATGTGCCTGTGGCACACTGATGACGAGACCCAGAGCTCTGGGCTGGAGGACTGGGGAAGGCAGCTGGGCTTCAGGGCTTGAGGGGTAGCAGTTGGGGGCAAGGGAGGCAGAGTGTTACACAAGCCTAGGATGTTGCAAAAGGCTGTCTTGTCCTCACCAAGCTCTTAAAAGAAGGCATGAGGCAGTGGCTTGTAGAGCCAGGGCCAGGCAGCCCTGAGTGCTAGCTCAGGAAAGTTTAACTTTTCCTTTTCCTCTTTTGGATCCTGGCCAAAGCCTAAGTGTGGTACCCCCCCCCTTCACATTGTGCCTTCTCACCGTATTTCTGAAGTGACCCTGCTTTTGGCATATGGCTGCTGCTGACCTCCATTGTTGAACATACAGCCAAAGTCCAACAGGATGGCTTTCTCCTTTCTCCCTTTCGTATCTCCATATCCCTTATCCCAGCGCTGTCAAGATTTACAGCTTGCC